TGAGATTTATTTCTGTATTAGCTACTAATTCCAAAACTTTCTTCCAAATCTAAGGCTTAACTGTTCTAATTCAGTATTGTTCCTTACCTGCTAAGCCCTAATGGACCTGACTCTTCTAGCTCAAGGTAGTGGCTAAGTTAGTTTGGTTTATGGAGTTCAAGATATATTTGCCAAGTGTGCTATAGACAGCACTCAAGTTTTGCATAGTCAGGGAAAATATCCTGGAATTCCTGCTAGTAAGCAAGCATCATGCTCAAAGAGAGGCATGGACAGGATGACTGCTACAGCAATATTTTTCACCAATGCAATACCAATATTCTCTTTTGCTGTTATGACTAATAATACATATACTTATTAAGAACTTACTTAGCTTAAATGATTTAGGAACTATGAATTATTTTTCCAAACTTGGAGGATAGGGACAAAATGTAGTAAAACACAGCTCTTTCACATTTCCAAATTGCTAAATATTGCAGTTCAGAAAATTTGTAGCCAACATTGATGATGAGGTCTGTCTCTGTGCTGCATGACTAAGAGCACCTCTGGAATAGCTGCATGCTGATGGCTTTATATTGAGAGGTACAATGTCTCCTTCACCATCACTTTTTAATAGGATAACCCGGCTTGAGGTGAATTCTCTTGTCAAGATCTTTCTGTATACTATTTTATATTCTGAACTACATACGTTACTCATTTATTGGTTCATGCAGCAAACCTGAAATGTATTTCTCATTCAAATAATGTTTTTCTCCTGCATAATCAAGATAGTTATACTCTAATCCTTGAAATACTGGACTTTAAATGGCATCTTTCTCTGCTGCTTAGAAAGATTTCTGGAAAGCTTATTTGATCTGGACTAAAATAACTTTTTATGCAAGAGTCTGAGTTAGAGTTAAAAGTGGTGTAAGTGGTAGAACTACTAACTCTGCACGGACAAAGAGGTTAGATGACTTGTCCAGGGTCACAAAGTCAGTGACAGTTTGTCCGGGTATTACATGTACAGGTGGTAAAGTGCAGTTCTGATGCACAGCTGGAACATAAACAAAACCTTTCTTTCTTTTTTTTTTTTTTTAAACTGTCACTACTGCTAAAAACAAAAAGAATGTAACTTTGCTTAAACGGCCACATTTAGACATGGGACTAAGTGGCATCATGATAGGAGACTGGGGAAAAGGGGCTGCAAGTGCGGAAGGGAGAGAAAGACAGCAAGTAATGGTCTCCTTAGGGCTGCTCAGCCATCCTTTCCACCTGCCCACCTCTCAGGGTATGAGTCTGCTACTAGAACATTGGAACTTTCTCTCAGTACAGTGGATTTTATCCAGAGAGAGACAATGTGCCATAGCCTGGCAGGCTGTGCCACCACCTCTGCATTCTGTTCCACAGTGAGGCACTATCACCAGCCAGCTCACACTAAGAAATCTGTTGAGATGATGCAGATTGTTTTGGAGAGGCCATTGAATACAAGAGGGTTCCTGCTCTAATTGGGCAGCTGTGAGATCAGTCCCAGCTGTTTTGTCTGTCTACCTCCTTGGAAGTCTGTGTTTTAGACATTTCAAATAACTTGCATTCCATATATCACATTTTTTCAAATTACCATTCTTCATGCCTGAGGAAAAATAAGTATAAAATAAGTGCATGGGAGAGGCTCTATGAAATCTCTGTGTTGAATTAAGCAAACCTGAACAAGAGTTTGTGTACAAAGAGGAGTGGAAGGTAACTGCTCCTTGGCTTGAGATAGTTGAACAGGTGTAAACAATGGCTGGGCAGAGATCTCACTAACTTGCTTTTGTCTTATCAGACTTCCCATCTATATCCCAGAAAAATCATGTGTGCTTTGCACTGCTGTGGACTGAACAGATTATCTACCCCAAGCAGAAACCTTTATTAGCATTCTCACCAGGGTCTGTCGCTGCCAGTTCTCAGTGAATCTGCCCTCATTGCAGTTATGAATCTAGTTAGGCAATGCCAGTTGCTGAAGTCACAACTCTTTGCACCAGAACAGCTTGTATGAAATGCCAGTTTGATGAAAATTTGAAGGACTTCTTTCCTATGCACGGCTCATGCTCACCAAACTGAAAATTAAGAATATGCTCAAATACTGAAAATAATAATCAAAAGAATGAAGGGGAGAAGAAAGAACATATGAAAATTAGAATTCATTATTATCAGTTTAAAGTACCAGTATTTGTAAAACATAAGCATGTGAAAGGCTGAATCTCATTTGATCAACCCAATTAAACATTAAATAATTGCAGCCAATTATGCAAATATCACACAACAATATTAATTTGTTGATCTTTTTTGAACAGTCTCAAATTCTCCTAATGTTAGTCTATCTTATGTCTTAAATGATCAATTAGCAGAACCATAACTAAGTGATGAAGAATGGATAATTGCCTAGTTATGATGTACCATGCTCTTTCTATGTAAATCTGTTGCAATTAAACAAATAGGGCACATGGAGAAAAGATGTGCAGATGTTCTTTTACAATCTATTATTAGTTCAGGGAATACCACAGTTCCCTCCTAAATTTTACAAGTGAAAACCAAATACTCACTGTTATTTATACATACTATTTCTTTCCTTTGGTTGACAGGATAAAAAAAAAGCAGTGACAGAATTCAGAGTAGGATAGCATGAAACATCAGAAGAATTTCCTGTATTATACTGACCTGTCAGCTCCCTTATTTAGGTTTCAAAGATTAAAATCTAGAACCTATTCTCCTGGATTCCATTTGGAAATATGAACAACTTTGAACTGACACAGCCAGATTAAAGCAATTAACCAAAATGTTACAGACAACAGTTAACATACAAACATAACACGTTTTCATTCTTCCCTGCTGGGAAAAAAACCCCTGCACATTTCTGTGGGTTATTCCAGTTTCAATTCTCATCATTTAGAATCTCCATCAGCTCAAAACATGCAGTAAAATGAAAGGTGTCTCTCTGGTCAGTGCAGGAAACAGTACAAACCACAACAAATGAAACCACCTGGTTTCCTCACATTAGATTACTTGCAATCAATTTAAGAAGAGTTTTACACAACTTTCAGCTTTACACGGCAATAAATAATTCTAACTGGTCCTTATTCATTGTGCCTAGTGAATAGATTACTGCTGGTATACATACTGAGGCCTTCATGGGGATTTTTGATTTCTGTCACCTCCATCAACAGTCTGAGATGTTAAGATATTGTATAACCACTTTGCCATGGATCTGAAGTTAGATATTTTCACATTTCCTTTTGCTGCTAAATCTAAGATGAACATAAGGGATAGATCAGTCTGAGATGTTAAGATATTGTATAACCACTTTGCCATGGATCTGAAGTTAGATATTTTCACATTTCCTTTTGCTGCTAAATCTAAGATTAACATAAGAGATAGATTAAGTAGTTCAGTAACAGAAAGCCACATGTGGTTGCTCATTACATAATCTTTTGAGAGCTCCATGCCACACTCTAATTAAAGGCACTCTTTAGTCTCATTGGATAAAACTCTCTACCCCATGCTGCATCTTGGTGTATTCCCCATGTTAATTTTTCCACCCATCTCATTAAATAAAAAGACTACCAGCAGCTTATAGTAGATACTAAACAAAAACCATCACACAATACAGGTTCAAATGGTCAGAACAACAGACATACAATACTATTGCTACTGTAAGTGAAACAACATTTTGTGCTTGCAGTTGTATTCTAAAGAAAAAACTATCCAACAAATTTTAACAATGGTTACACTGTCAGAGAGAACCTTCAACTGTTCTTCATTAAAAGATCAGATTGGACTGCAGAGAAAGACAGAAGAAGTCATGATTTGAGAAAGTGATGGCTAAGGAGGGGTTGTCTTTTAAATCTGACCAAGAATGAACAGGAGTGCCATAAGGATACTCTTTAACAGTTGCATAAGGCATGGATGGTCTATTAAAAATTATATTTTGCCTTCTTAAACTATGTTATCAAATGCCAGTAACTACAAAGGACTTATAAAGCATTGGATAGATACTGTTAGGCCTTAAAAAATTAAAGTGCTAAATGTTCCCCTTAATACTGGTGCATCTCTACTGCAAACTAGGACAAGAAATATTTCACTTTTACTTCTTATAGGACTCCAGTAAAGTGTTAATAAAGTTCCACCAGTTTTACACTGAAGTAGCACTTTGGAACATTGATGCAGAATATGGTGATCCTTTTTGGCAAGAGATATCTTAAAGCTGTTCAACGAAGCTGTGTGCAAAAGAGGGAAGCTAATAAATATTACAGAATGATTGTTAGTGAACATTTGCAGAAGTTAATTCCCTGACTATGGGCAACATACTCTGTGTTGCTTCCAAAGTCCCAAGATCGCATGTGAGAGAGTAGCATTATATGAAGAATGAGGTGCTTAACCAGAATGAAACCAGGGTTTGAACGAAACCTCTTTCCTTCTTCTGCTAGACATTTTCTGTTGACAGCATTGCTTGTTCCTTGATAGGGAGGCCCTGGTGCAGTACACCTGTCAATGGGGCCTGGACACACATCATAGCAAGTGGTGAAGGGGACAAGAAAAACATGTTGCTGATCTAATTGATGTGACTGGATGATGAAAGAAATTCCTCAATCCAAAGTTTTGGTTGCTGTGAAGAGTGGTTCACTTTTCACAGCCACAGTTGTCTGAATCTTATTTCCTAGACATTTACCCGGAAGGCAACACTGTGTCCACAGCACCCAGCTCTGTGCTAGGTCTCAGCAAGGCCCAATCTAGCCCTTTCAATCATGTCTGGAGGGATGTATTCAACTATTAGAGAGGTATGCACTGCCCAAGCAACCACGGCATATCCCCATGGCAGGACAGGCAATAGGCCAACAGGGACCCTATTGCAGGCTAGGCTGGCTCAATTTTGGCCTAAAGGACAGAGTTATTTGACAGAGTATGCATGGAGGGATCTAGAGGGCTATGCAAACTCAGGAATCTCCCATACAAGCGAAGTACAAAAGGAAAGAGCATACGTCTAAATGTATTTGTTTCCCAAACACAGAGCAAAAGGCAGAATAATGTCAACAGAACCCTGTGGCCAGCTAACAGTCAACGTCGGTGTGTTATGTGACAACATGTTCTGCTGGTGATGGCAGGTAAACAAACCAAACTGAAGAGCAGTTGAAGAGCATTTTACAAGTTTTCACACTGTACATAAGGAGGCACTAAGAAAACCATTAGGAAAGTTCTATTGCTAACATTTAGCACCTCTACCAAGAAGACAGGCTTCTACCAACAGGATTACAGTAGAAATCAAAATGATTGTGTTCACATTTGCTGGATTGTGGAAACAATCATCCTGGGGAGCAAATTGATACTGGAACTATGCTATGCACTGGCAGCTACAGAAGTTGTCGTTATTTGTGTCTGTTCTGTCTGGAGGGTCTGAACTCTTCCACCTTCATGACACCAGCACTGCCCAATCACTGTCTTCTCTTCCATACTGAAACAAAGAGAAAATGGAATTTAAGAATAAAAGTTAAAAGGAACACTGCACAATTATGACAGCTTCTTAGATCTATTCTCAGAATGATTCATATCCACCACTCTGATACTAGTTTACATTATTTCTTATGCTTTTACTTCAGTCTTGGATTTGAGCACAGCCTAAAGGTCACTTGAGGCTTTTTCCATATTCCAATAAGCAGACTAAGAAGGGGCAATACTGATACTCACTAGAGATGATACAGAATAGTTCTGCTTCACTAGCTTGTTACTCCCTGAGGGCTGCTCACTAATTCACTCCTAAGTACACCCCTGCTCAAGCTCCAATAAACAAACACATTTCATTTTATTTCTTTTTATTTTCAGGGTGGCTTTTTATTACAACATTCTGATTGAATGTGAAATAAACCCATCACAAATACCACAGAGTACAATTAGAGAGAGTTGTAATCCAAAATAAAACATTTTTCCGTACACAAACCAGCAGGATCAGCAGTCAGAAATGAAGGCAGCCTATGGCATGGAGCTGTAGCCCTTCCAGGGGAGGATAAAGTCCCAAGGTAGCACTTTTGGTTGCTAAAGTGGCTCCATGTTCTAATGCTGTCACCAATCCTGTAAACAATGCTCCAGAGACACCCCCAAAACTCACACAGGGCTCAAGTAGGCAAATAATGACAAGGTGGACACAGTAGCAGCAGATATAAGTCAGGAGTCCTTTCCAGCATAGTGCTGTGTTCAGGGAGCTTGAAAACATTTTCAACCAAGAAATAAAGACTGATTTTAGAGGCTTTATGTAGGCTGAAAAGATTAGTCAATGATAATTTCTCCAGAGAGCATATAAGGAAGTTCCTCCAATCCTGGTTCTGCATCAGCAGGAGAGGAGATAAGGGGACACCAAAACAGGGGAAAGTTAACAGCTCCAAATCAGGGTGAGCCAGAAAAAACACACTTCTAGATCCACAAAGGAATGGTGTTCACTGTGCTTGTGTTTTACTCTTTACTCCAGCAGGTAAAGCCTCTAAATGACCTTCACAAACTCACATCTATTTTTTCTTTTCATTACTAATTCTGCTGCTCCTGTTCTACAGTCTGCAATGAGATTGACCAGTGGTCAGGTGCTACACAGGACCTTGCATGAAATTACTTCTTCAAAGGATTTTCAGCTTACATTCCTAGATATCAATGTGGCTGCCTTGGGATTTCTAACCAAGGAAAAGCAGATATATCATCAGTTTAACCACAAAGCACTAGATCATCCTCATGTGAGGCAATTCTGTCGAGGATGGAGGCAAAAGGAGGGAAAAAAAAGATGTCTTTGACTTTGATATCATTGTTTCTCAGAGAAAAGGTGGCAATCCCACCTCCTCCAACCAGAAAGCAGGCAAAGGCCAGGGGATTATTTGCAAATGTTGCTATCTTTAGGTAGTATCATCCAATGCTCAGATGCTGCCCAGGAATTGCAAGGACTGCTTTGAGTTGCCACTGGACTACAGTTTGCACCTGCTGTGAGAACTAAAAAGGGAATGAATACGTGGTACCACAATCAAGATGTTTTCATTCCAGAAACAGATTTAGATTCCTTTACTAATTTTGTCAAGGACTTTGTGGCCTCAGACTAATCAATCCCATGCCTTTTCTACTGCCCACCACCACCAGGTCCTGCTTTGTAAAAATCAACACGTTCATTCTCATTCCCTGTTTGTTTTCCAGCGGCCAATCCATTAGATTGTGCAACTTTGAGAGACAGAGGGTTTGACTAAATGTCTGTTCATTACTGTCCTGGCTGCAGTGTTTAAATGTGGTTTATATCATGTAGCATAAACAATGTCTCACTTTCTCTCCTTCCCTTCCAGGCTGCATCTTGATCTGTGTTCTAAAGGGTTTCCTCAAAGCATGGATACAAACCCACAAAAACATCTGAGTAGTACTTCAGTGAGTATATTCCCAAAGAAAAGAATCTCATCCCTAAATTATCTAGCTCAAGCAGCTATAGAAGGTAGTAACTAATTCATTTGTGTTCACACCATTACTTTATATAATGTACATTATTTAATCTAAAGTCTTTATCAGCCTTTAGCAATCATATCTGCTCAGTGATAGGAAGGGAAATATATATCCCAGTGCTACTACTGTCTCTCTCAATTGGCATGAGAAATGGAATCAGTTCTGCCCATGAGTTTCTGATTTGTCACTCCAGCTCTAGTTCCACTGAACAGCTGTTCAAATCCCAAGAAATCCTGTTGAACACAGCAGACTTGTGAAAGAACAATAAGCAGCATTAAAACAGACTTGGAAACACAATAATGAAGAGAATATGAAAATGTTTAAAGAACATGGATTGCACACAAGGGAACTGAGATAGTGATACTGGATACGGAGCCCTGCACCTCTTGCTCACAGGTTCACATGCAAGACAATGGTGCTGCTCAGAATTTAACCATTTTACAAGTGCCCCTTGTTCAACCAATAATGGAGACACTGCCCTAGTTCAGGCAGCAGCACAGAGACCAAAGCTGTGTTCAGTGTAATTTCCATTGCACTTTATTCTTCAGAATATGAAAATTCTTTGGAATAACAGCTTCACACTGTCCAAATGATATGTCAATAATCCAATGGTACTGCAAAGAGATCTTTGGTAAAAAATATAAAAGATCTTGTGGAAAAATCCTGAAAACTCCCCCAGCCTTTAAGAATACTATATATTCCATTTTGTGTGTTGCACCATTGTTTTCTGTATGACATTATGGGATCAGTTTGGATATAAAGCTTATCTCTCCAAAGATAGCAAGGTGCAGACACACAATCAGCAACCACTGATTGACTCTTTCAGGGGAAGCAGCCATCATTCTCTTTAAAATCATGTTTCTAACGATGAAGTGTTCTATCCTGAATTTCTTAAAGAAGAAAGTGAACTCAGAAGTAAACATATACAAAATATTCCAGCACTTTCCAGGATAAATAGAGAACAACTATATTACATTTCATCCCTATTAAACTTTCTCAAGGCAAAAAAAAAAGAAAATTGATAAACAGTCAAACCAAACAAAAGAGCTGCCTCTAGCACCACTACTAAAATATTAATTTCCAATGTTACCAAATGTTCACCATTTGTTACATCACCTGGTTAAAAAAGAGGAAATGCCTTACCTGGATATCACTCAGTTTGTTCAGGAAACGAGTTGTTAACTGAGGCCCATTCTCCATAGTTGGAATGTGCAAATGCTGACATGGAATAAAGGAAAGGAAAGAGGGAGGAGAGAGATTAACATGTAATTATCGCCTTATATACATATGAATACCTTATGGTTTGCAATAATTTTAATAAAGATTTACCATACTTTCTAGCCCTCCTTATGAGTAGACAAGTGTTGTTGCAATGGTTTTCTTACAGGTGGGAATGTTAAGCCAGTGAAAAGTTAGATTAGTTGAATTGTTATTCTGGTGTTAAATAAAATCTAAGCCTTCTAAAAGATCTGTGCAAAATGGAGGGTACATTGTACAGGCAAGAGCAGAAACTCTGAAATGAAATGCTGCATATAAAGTATATCGTGTACAAATACAACACACACATTTACGGTACTTATCACTCAGCACCTTGATGTGCCTTTCATTATCTTAGCATCAGATAATATCAAAACATCTATTCTATTTAATGAATTCAAGAAGTATCACCTAACAGACATTTATTGTACTTATCATGCTTAGTGGACAGAGCACATCCTGATATGCAGTTGCAACATCTCAGTCTCCTGAACTAACTTTGTGCTGGCTAAATAGCATCAAGTCAGTTTAACAGCCTGAATGCCTGTGGAATTCCACCTGTGCAGGAGCAATCTCCCATATGGTGTAGAGTAGGTGGAAGAAGCTGTGCACCCTCCTGAAACAGCTCTTCCATCAGAGCTGGGATCCCTGCAATGAGGGCTGAAGAAGAGATGCACTCCCAAAAGGAAGGAATTTAGTGGCTTAGAGATTTGGTTCACTGTGAAAGTCTTGCCCGTCCTCACCTTTCCCAGGTGCCTTAGCTTTGGGAAAAAAACCCAATAATTTCTCTAGCAGAATGTATTTTTCTATATTTGCAAACAGTCTGGGAGCTGGGAACTATTTTTTATTTTTTTTTAATTTTCCCAAAAGTTGAGATTTTATGTTTTTAGATATTAAAAAAAACCCCAGAAGACAGGGGGGAAAGTTCCCTTCTGACAACATAGCAGTAATTCACTTGGGAAACAACATACTGACACAGTCCATCTTTCCAGGCAGCACTTCTTTTCCATCTCCCTTGTTTTTTGTTTCAGCTGCAATTAATTATGATAAAATTCTGAACAAAGACGGAAAGGTGAGAAAAACAGAAAAAGAGAGAGCATTTCCTTACCTTGCCCTGATATAAAATTTTAGAGATAGGACACACAATGCAAGCTGTTCCAGCACCAAACATCTCCTTTACTCTGTTCTCTTCCAAGGCAGCTGTCAGGTCACTCATAGTGATGTATCGCTCAGACACTTTGAATTCTCCCTACATGAGAAGGATCAACCATAACATTTGTAAAATCTTTAAAAATGTTTGTGTTCTTGTCCTCTGCATTGTAACATCTCTAATAGAACTATTAGCCTAGTGGCAATCAGTGAAGTTTTGGCTGTGAGCTTTTCAAATGTCCCAGTATCACACGAGACAGACCCTAATCAAAGGAACAACCTTCAATAAAGCCAACAGTTTGCCAGAAAGAATCCTGATGACTAAGTGATTCCCACTTGGAGAGGCTGAGGGAGCTGGGGTTGTTTAGCCTAGAGAAGAAGCAGCTCAGGGATGACCTTATCACCCTCTACAATTCCCTGACAGGAGGTTGGAGTCAGGTGGGGGTTGGTCTCTTCTCCCAGGCAACCAGCACTAGGACAAGAGGGCACAGACTCAAGCTCTGCCAGGGGAGGTTTAGGTTGGATATTAGGAATATATTTTTTATGGAATGAGTAATCAGGCATTGGAATGGGCTGCCTAGGGAGGTGGTGGATCCACCATCCCTGGAGGTTTTCAAGATGAGATTGGATATGGCACTTAGTGCCATGGTCTAGTAACCACAGTAGGGTTTGAAGTGAAGATCTTGGAGGTCTTTTCCAACCTGGTTGATTCTGTGATTCTATGATTCCCTCTGATTTGGTCCTGAATACCAAATTATTTAAGAGAACTGGGGTGAGACTCTGGCATCTCTGAAATAAGCCCTATCAGCTGGAAATCTGTCTGTCTCCTAAAGGAGATGGGACTGAGAATTGTGCATACACAGCTGCATTTGGGCAGTACCAACACAAATAAAGATGTCTAAGAGTTCATTGCAGCTTGTCAAGAGCAAATATGCACCACAAAGTACATGTCACTGCAAGTCAGATTTAAGTGATGTAACTGTGAACTGTATTTCAGGAAGTCTTTCAACTACAGGTGGTTGGAAGCTGAGTTAATACCAGAGGGAACCTATCACACATGCCTATGTTATCCTTGTTATTCCATTCTAAACCAGAAGACAGGACACTGGGCTTGATGAGCTTTTGGCTGTGCAGTATTCTTACCCAAGCAGCAATAAAACTTTTGAATACAGTACAGGCAGAGTGAACAGTTTGCTGCATTTCCAGATATGAGGTAGTCCCAAGTGTCCAAATAAGTTCTTGGATGGCTACAGTACAGAACAGGAGCTGGAAGCAGACAGATGACTTCAAGACTGTGACTGGATAAGCTGCATGTTTGTTAGCAGAAACCGGGGTGGAAGCATGAGAACTAAATAGAGAAACAGTGTGCTGGTGACTGAAGTATAGCTATGGTCATGCATGGTAATTCTTTGTTTCCTTGCTGTAACTTGCTGGTACCAGTGGATTTAACGAGAATTTTCATGTTAAATACTACACAGGGCTGAGTTAACAAGCTTGGCATTGTTCTGTGTGACAGGTGTGGGTATTCTGATGAGTTTACTGGGAAACTCTGAATAGGCAGGTCTTTAGTTCCCATTTAGGTTAAGTGCACCCTCAGCCAGTTTGCCAGCACCACCCATCTGTGTGGCGCAGTTGACATGCTGAAGGGAAGGAAAGGGATGCCATCCCTAGGGACATTGAAAGCAGAGTTTCAGAAGGGTTGGACATGGCTCTGAGCAATCTGATCTAGTGGAACACATCCCTACTCATTGCAGGGAGGTTGGGCTAGAACACCTGTAAAGGTCCTTTCCAAGGCCAGGTTGGATGGGGCTTTGAGCAACCCAGTCTAGTGGAAGGTGTCCCTGCCCACGGCAGAAGGTTGGAACTAGATTATCTTTAAGGTCCCTTCCAACCCAAACCATTCTGTTATTCTATGAACCCAGAGTATTCTCTGATTTTCTGATTTAACCAGATCAGCTGAACTTCGAGATATTGAGCACCATTACTTCCACTGATGTTGTAACAAGATAGTTGAAAGCATTAATGCCAAGGCCAAATCACTCACCCAGTTGCGTGCCAGATCCAAAATGCTTTGTCTGGTCACTCCTGGAAGGATGATGCCATCTAAAGGTGGGGTTGCCAGTTCATCTTCTGCCAAACACAAAAGAAATAGAGACACTGGTTAAAAAACAACCAAAGGAACAAAAAAATATTTACTGATATTACACCAAACATGAAAATTAAAAAGAAGTTGAATGACACCAGACACGTTCCCTACCCAGTAAGATGCAACATTTATTAGAGTTCTATATGAACACAAATTACAGAAACTCAATTCAGGTAAGATGTTGTTGAATATTTGGAACCTTATGAGTATAAAGTATACTTCAGTGAGTGGGGAAAAACATATTCAATACACTAATATATAGATGGCTAATGTCTAGTAGTAGGTTTTATTCCTCGGTGCATTATGGGTTCACTGTATAACTACTGGAAACCATCAAATGGTTCAGTCTACAAATTCAGCATAGAAAGGCTGAGGGAAAGTTTTGTCTAATAATCCCGGGGCAGATAATGACTTTCCCTGGAATGGTTTACTTACTTGAGGAATGTGGGATTTAGCATACCTACTTCATAGCAGTAATATGAAACATTTACCAGAAATTTTGAAGTCCATTTACTGAAGCAACAAAGCAGTGGAAACCTTGCCAACCCTCCTTAAACAGAGTTAATCTTTCTCATTTTAAACAATCAGATAACATACTTGGTAGTCTCGATTATCAGGGGATACTGATCATTTGCTCTTTTCAGACAGAGACTTTTAAGACAGTCTCAAATTTGCACTGAAAAGTCAAGACATGCACAGTCTTTCAGTAATATTCTTCATATCTTTTCCTAAATAATTTTCTTTTCCCAATAAGGTTACATTTTCTTTCCTGATCTTATAATAATACTATCTTGCTCATTAAATCTACAAACCATTGAGGGTTTTGCTTAATTTTTACCTAGGTCACATAAAAGAACAAGATATGTATCTTCACATTTTTATTATGTCCCTTTCTCCCTCGCCATGAAAGATCCCTGAATCCAGGCCTATTTGAACCACTCTCGAAGGAGAAGCTGTCTATAAAATATTTCTAGAGGTCCTGTGAAAACTTGCAGCTGGATAGAAGAGAGAAACATGGTATGTGTCCTTGGACTGTGAGAGCAGGTTGAGCTCAGCTGCTTAATACTCTGTTTTCAGCACTCAACTATATAATTCCATGCACAAACTGCTGCCAGCCAGTGCATCACAGCTCCAGACTGTATCACGGGCTCTCCCCACTCTGCAAGAAGGGGCATTGGGATCTGGGGTGGGATAAGGGAAATGGAGGATAAATAAAAGGAATTCTTCATTGAATCTGCTCCTCGCTGTCCACTCTCTCAGAAAATACATCTTACTTTTTAATGTAGCCACCCCTGGATTTATTCATTTGGACTAGTAGCTTTTCCTGTCTATGCTTCTATGTTCCTTTTAGGAGGATCCATACACACATAAGTAATAGATGCAAACTGCCATGCCAAAAAGGTATTAAAAATCTGCCCTAGAAGAGGCTACATGTTCTGCTCTGGTTTGACTAACCCATAGTGCCATTCCCTAACCTTTCCCAGAATTCTAACTACATCAGTGATCTCTTCTTTCTCATACAGTCAGGAATAACAGCTTTCCTTTTTTTGAGTCTGTCTAGCATCACTCCTAATTGTGATTCATATCTGGTCCTGACTCTGGCACATCTATCAAAAGAAGAAGACTCTAAAACTTTCCATGAGCCACAGGGCTCACCTGATTCTGAACACTGAGAACCTGATGTCCTCGACTATATGACCCAGTCACTTGCAAGTGCACTCCTTTCTTTAACAGAAGACTGCAAATAATGTGGACTTTGATACCAAAGACTGTGACTACTCTTCTCTACTTGGTAATGTTGCCACAGATCTTGGCCAGGTCCTGTTTAAGCTCAGCAACACATATTAATTGATTTGAGCTAGTTTGAAAAGGTGCCAGGCACAACCAGCCACACTGAGCAGACAGGACATGGAAGTCTCAAAAATGTTTCAAACAGCCTGCTCTGTGGAATTTTGTCAAATATACATATGATGCCTACCAGCCTGGGGCCACCCAGGGAACATCTGCTCCCCTGGTATCCGGCAGGGATGATAATGCTATACAACATGGCATGCCAAAAGCTCATCCTCTCTGTGAGCTGATGCCAAACCAGGCTCCATATGACATCAGTTTGTCCATCTCCCAAAAAACAGACTGTGAGCTCACAGGCTCCATTTGCCTTCTGAATTATTTTGATGGGATACAAGCCTTAAGATGTAGAGATGCAAAAAGTGAGGGGAAAGACATTTGAAGGAAGATGTCAGAATTCCTCTTCAGTTGATGCCTGTAATTGTTATAGCAGTAGCACTATCTTTACTGGGATGGGTCTCTGGTTATAAACCAAGGAGAGTTCAGACTACTCTGTGGTGACCTCAGAACACACAAAGAAAGGCATTTTCCTTTCGATGATGAACAGCAATTTCTGCCTCACTTTCATCCCTCTCTCAGTTGCAGCATTTACATAACAAAACCAGACCACAGCCTGAGTAAGTGCCCTTTGCTAAGTGACAGAACATCATGGCAAGCATTTCTTAAATCTCAGCACAAAGCCATAGGTAGGTATGTGATGACACACATTGGCAGCAGGAGCGATTCTCGGCCAAAGATCCCATAAATTAAGCATGACTCAACCCACCAGGAGATAGCAAAGTGCTCCAGTGAGGCTAGTGTCCTGTGGAATGGCAGGATGGCCAGCACACAGCCTGCTTGGGTGGCATGAATTACAAGTTGTTTGCTACGGCCACCTCACAATAGTACTATTCACTAGTGCACTGGTAACACAGTGATTGGCAGATCTTTGGAACAGTGTGGTGCTGCAGCTGGATAATTCCAGCATATTCCTGGTTTAAGTACAATGAGAACATTGAATTCTAATTATGTCCCTGCTTCAGTGTCCTTTCCCTGGGCAGAACAAGCCAAAATCTATTTTCATGTCTCTCCGGTGAAGAGGCACAAGGCATAAATTTGGCCATCTAGCTGTACTGACGAATCTACTGCTGCTGTAACAAGAAAATTTCCAGTATTTATCATTTCATTCACAAAAACTTCACAGACTCATTCAACACTGAGGGAGTATCATCCCTCTTCTCACAAAAGTGGTAAAGATCTTGTAGAACAAGCAATGAAACTGAAGTTTCCTAATCAACCTTGCTCAGAGACAACTGTAGGTACAAAGAGGTAAAAATAGCTGCAAGAATGAAGTCCTGAAAGCATCATTTGAGCATTACTGATATGTAAGACTGACTGACGTGTATCTCTTTCTCTGTCACCACTGGACAGGACTTCAAATTCTTCAAATAAAGAGCTGATTTCTCCATCAACTGGATGCTGAAATACTTTTGGCTATGCTTCAGGAGCATTTGACTTACCAGAAAGTGATAATGGAAGGCACTCATGCCCGAAGTCACAGAGACTGAAGAGTTGCACAGCCATAAATTGTCTTTTAATACATCTGTGCTGCTTCTGAGCCAACACCTGCATCCAGACCCAGCATGCTGCTAGAGCTGACACCAAACCTGCATGGTGACCTTGTGTATGGCTCTACCCTTCTGAGCATGTGGACTGGCCCAGCAGCTTAGTATGTCATCAGTAGGCAGCACTCACAGCTGCTCCAGAACCAACTCTTTCAGTGTTAAAACCATCAGTCACCTATCAGTTTACAGAAGAGAACAGGCATTTCCTTTGTAAAATCACCTTCATTTAAAAGTTTATGATCTGCTCTCTGATAATCATTTTGTGGATTATGATTCCATTTGTCTACTCTGTTAAAATTTCCATGCTTTATGTTACCATACCTCCATCTTCATTTATCCAGTAGAGAAACAGATTCATTGTTCCAACTTCAGTTATTTGGTGATCTTCTCCATAGAGCCACAAAACCTGCTGGCAGCCAAACTCCAGGGCTTCTTGCTGGGCATAAATAGCAGAACCATAATTCCTTCAGAAACAAAAAGAACCAACAAAGACTTATGAGTATCTGGTTGGGTATCTTCTCATTTTTAAGCAAGATTTCATGCACGTCTACCTTATGAGTGTGTGCACTGCACAGGCACTGTTTTTTCCTGGAAAATTTTAATTGGAAGTACTCTACTAGTATTTTACTAAATCATTTGTATCTACAATCCAAAAACTTTCAAGGGCTTAAAAGCATTAACAGCTCAAACACATCCATCCAAATTATCTTAAAAACACCTCTTGTTCCATTTTCTGCACATTGCAATTAAACACCTTATGAAAGCATTTGTCTTTATTTAGCAGTTAGCATCCTCAAGAGAGCAACAATCCCCATCCAGCTCATGGTTTTAAAAAAAGCAAAACAAAACAATATACCTCATCCATATATATCAGATGAACAGATGGGTAATATATGTCAAATGAACCTCTTGGAGCACAAATACTACAAAGAGAAGAGTTATCTCCTAGTATCTTCAGGAGCTGCAAAATGGGCCTTGATGAATTCCATATCTTTGAGAAGCAAATGTTTTCCTAAAATGCTGCCTACAGAGTGAAGCTGACTGAATAATACCTGTTTATTCTGTAGCTACTTTGAGGGGAAAAAAAACCCTTTTTTGTTTTTGATGCTCAACAACCATCACACAGTCAGCAGCTCCAAAATGCTGATCATACTGGAGTCAAGTTCTCACCTCTGGGCACGAATCAAGTCAGAGCTGACTCCAGACTACTCCTTATTTTTCACAGTTTATGTATGAACGATGCACAGAATAGAATTAATATAACTCTAAAAATAAGCAAAAACTTATAAACAAAGAGTAAAAGTCTCAAAACACCAGACTGTATGAAAGAAAACTGTTTCCTTGCCCTCTGATTGTTCTACTAGCTCTCTTGAGCAGCACTTGACAGCTACTAACTTCCTGCCTAGAAAAGAAACTCCCAGGTAGGGAAAATCAGCTGTTTAAACCAAAGACAAAGAATGTATAATCGAGTCACTTATTTAGCCACTTCCAAGTTGTTTGCTCCATCAAGTCCTAAGCAACTTTACTCTGCAGGTCAAGTACTTGAGCAGTGACAATTACATTTTTACTTAACTAGTGCTTTGGCCTACTTCAGCAGAAAACTGCCAGACTTTGGCCAAGTCAATGCAGATAACTCTCTCTTGGTTTCCCTTAAACCCCCAAATTCCCCCTGCTAACTGTGCAGATGGCTTGTTGGGACAGCCTGCCAAAGAAGGAGGTCAGCAGCCAGTGCTGCACCCTGCCCAGTTGGCAGCAGGCTGCTACACTGAATGCTGCACCACTGAGGTGATATCTTCAATGTCAACTGCTGCAAGGGGAAGAGCCACAGTAGTACATGGACACCTTCCAGGTCCAGTTCATCAGCTTGAGACACTGCAAAAAATTCAACTTGGCTGTAATATTAAAACAAAAATATGCAACTGACTTGTATAAATAATATTTGCAAAGTACAATTTTGAAATCTTTGTAATCTATAGCATATTGTTTAACTACTGCATTTAATGTCTCTATTTCTGCTGGATTAGGTATTTCACTAAAAAACAAATCTCCTTTGTGAGCTAAGTCAAAAATGCAGAATAATGTTTTCTTACCCTCCCACTTTGCAGTCCCCTGTTCCTCCTTTCCAGGCTCTTACATATTTTGGATCTGCCCATAAGGATATGGGATTAAAGCTTCCACTTGCAAAGTAAGGGCCCACAGGGCTCAGGATGACATACAGTAGAGCTTTCGTTGGCTTCTTCACTCCAAGGGAAGGCTGAAAATAAGGAATGCAAACAATTCAAAAGTTACTGGTGTACTTCAAACATCAGGTGATGCAGGATCAGCTCTTGAAACACTGCTTTCAGTGGAACTGCAGCATGAAAGAGCTTTTGCCAGGACAATGCAAAATGCTGCAATGAAGAGAATATATTTATGTAACTTCCCTTCAATCCAAGCAATATAACAACCCTAAATTTATAGACTGTCATCAGTCACTTACAGCCATTCCATTTACCTATATATTATTCTAATCTTCTCAAATAGTTTCAAGCTCTTGAGAATTCAGAAATTAGCGTAAGAAGGTACTATGTAATTATATGAATTAATTGTAGCAGAAGTTTGCAGAGCCTTCTAGGGGAAGGAGTGCAGAGACCACTCCTAGCAAGAACAACAGTGGAGAAACCACTGTGAGTTGCATCAGTGATGCAGTTACAAGTTTCTCTCTTGCTACTGCTAAAACCCCTCAACCTCAAAGTTTTAATTAAAATTAACTCTCTGTTTCTAATTCCCTTTAGAAATACTATAGCCTTGACTCACACCCACACCAAACTCAGAGTACACACTAATACCTAATTGCTAAGGAGTCCCTTATAATGTCAGGTTTAGCTGGATCCAAGAATAAATTGACACAGGAACTTGTTCTTAGTTCTGTTAAAAATGTCTCTGAAAAGAGCCATCTTCATTTAGTGGGTAGTACCTTCCAAAATTTCCTCACTAAGGTCAGAATGGAGGTACGAGCTGAAATCACAAAATATGCATAGCAAATTTCTGTTCTCTTATTTTTTTTCTCCAGATTATTAGTATTTTAAAGGTGTTTGTTACCATGTCACAAATAACTGTCCTTTCAGTGCAAAACCAGAGTTCTTGCAAATTGTTTCCACTCGGAGTAGTTAATCCAGGTTTACTCCCTGTGCTCTGAGCCGATGTGCCCACTAAGTGGCAGTGTGGTCAACAGTAAATTCGTGCAGTGGCGCTACAGGTGACAAAAGAGAACACAGAAACCCAATCTGCCCCCGAACTGTAATCCTGTTATCTCCTGACTGCTGCACATTGCCCTTTTTGCATGGAAGCTTTTGCCTCGTACCTAAACACACCAGAGTTAAGCGGGGAATGAAAACGTTTCATACCTCAGTTCCAATTAAGGTAGGACGGATATACAGACTGGCAGCGGTCGAGTATGGGACCCACTCCTGCTCTACTTCCACAAGCTTCCGGATGCACTCTAACAGCTCATTCTGGTCAAATGTCTGGGAAGGAAAAGCAAATGGAGAAACACAGCTGGAGCACTCTGTGGACTTTACAGATCCATATGACAAAGGGAAAACTTAAGTATCACAGTAGGTTGCTTGGGGACGTCCTAGAAACCTTCTACCTGAAGGGGCCTACGAGCAGGCTCTACTTCCACAAGCTTCCGGATGCACTCTAACAGCTCATTCTGGTCAAATGTCTGGGAAGGAAAAGCAAATGGAGAAACACAGCTGGAGCACTCTGTGGACTTTACAGATCCATATGACAAAGGGAAAACTTAAGTATCACAGTAGGTTGCTTGGGGACGTCCTAGAAACCTTCTACCTGAAGGGGCCTACGAGCAGGCTGGAGAAGGACTCTGTTAGGAACTGATAGGACAAGACAAGGAGTAATGGGGATAAATGGAAAGAGGGGAAATTTAGATTAGATAATAGGAAGAGGGTTTTTAATGTGAGGGTGGTAAGAGACTGGCACAGGTTGCCCAGAGAGTCTGTGGCTGCCCCAACCCTGGCGGTGTTCAAAACCAGGTTGGCTAAAGCCTTGAGCAACCTGCTCTGGTGGGAGGTGTCCCTGTCCAGGTGATCTCTAAGGTCCATTCCAACCCCTTAACATACTATGACACTAACTAATGTAACAGTGATAGTCTGTAGAGACTCATAAGACTACATATATCACCTTCCTTGAGTTCATTCCTTACAGAATGTAAGGAATGGGCTTGACCATTGTGTCTTTTTGTGCAGTATCCAGAATGCCCTCCTCTTCTCCAAAATATCCTCCTGAGATAGTAAAAATAAGCCATTGACCCTTCTTGCTTCCAAAGCACGTGGAGAAAACTCCCTGTACAGCCAACACCCTCACTATGGCATGCTGCAAACTACAGCACCATTACTTCTGCAGAAGAGTGCCTTGGGTTACAACTCCAAGGGGCCAACAAGTCTCCCGGTTTTACAATAACTCCCAAGTTCTTACAGCAATAAAGCTAATAAGCTGGGGCAAAATTCACTGGCCAAGACATCAGTGTTAAAGCCGTGTTAAGTTGCTGGCATAACCAAAAATGAAAACACTCAGAGACTGGACAACTTAACTGAAGTGGAAAGAAAAGGAAGAACAATAGCACCAGAATAAATGAATCAGCTGTTTGCATGCAAATACCTGCAAAACAACACCTATTCCTCAGAAACAGGATGTGTACATCTGAGACAAAAGGGAGACAATAAAGAAAGCAAAATGCTGTGTGATTTAAAAATACAGTTCCCTTCAGTGAATGAGATCTGTCAACAAGGCCTAGCTGAACCATCAAAGAGCGTTTGATAAATGCTACACTACTGAAAATGAAAGTATGCTCTGACTTGAGGAGCATAAGACGCCTTGGCTACGTACTGGCAGAGTTGTTCTCTTTGCTGACCGTGCCATCCTGTCCATGTTGAGGGTTGGCCGGAACAGGCGAATTTTGCCATCCACTCCTCGGTAAGCCTTCATTCCTTCAAACAGCTACCCAGCCAAAACAGGAGGGAAAAGAAACCAAACAGTAATTGAGACACGTTATCTCATGATGATCTATGCAAAAGCAGAACACACCCTTTGGAAATCAAAGAGCTTCTCTTTCCCACTCACAGTACTCAAAGCATAAATGCTAACTAGTGAATCCTGGCAATACACTGAGGTGAGGTAGGATTACAGAGTTTTCATTAGGAAGACAACCTGTCTATACTTCAGATATGTCTTTCTGTGTTGGGGAACTTAGTGATAGCCTTTATTTTATCATTTCATAATTTGGTTACAGCAATTAAAATTTGTAGCATGTGTTTGACGTAACTATCTCCTCACATCCTGACTGATAACTAAGACTAAGCCAAAACAGTATTCCCCTTTACATAAAAGTTCTATAGATTTTAATTATATATATGTTTACATTTTTTAGGGCTCTGTCAAAACACATTTTGGTAGAAAGCATGGAATAAGGTAATTAAGAGAATTCTGTTAAAGTTCTTGCTGTAGTTGTAGCAAGATCTTGGTCACTTATTTCCCCCACATATCCCTGTGCTGTGGAAGGGGGTTCAGCCTGCATGAGACACAGAGGAATCAGCCTTACACTAGAGGAAGAATGCATGAAAGTGTTTTCTCTATATACTTTACAGAAAACTTCAATTAGACATAATTATCCCATCAAATTGCAGAATCCAGATGACGGATGTTGACAAACAGTCTGCCAAAAACCCCTACAACCATCAGTGCCCTCCCAGCAGAATGCCCTACAGCATCTCCTAACCACAGCAAAAAACATATGCCCGCAAAATATCCAGTTATTTTTAGTTACAGATTGATAATTTCTAGTTATACTTACAGACAGAAAACACACATATTACATAAGCTCAAACTAATATATACAAATGTACAAGTTTTATTTAAGTATTAAAGGCTCACTTAAGCTTATAGACAAAAGTTCAGATTCTTAGAATTTATTTTCTAAAGTATTGCTTTGTACATTAGATTTCAGTATAAGGTCTATGAATTTAACTGCATCACTGCTGTGAGTCTCCTCAGGCTTCTCCTCCTATGACTGTTCCACAAAAAGTAGCTGGAAATACATCCTGTGTGGTTGGAGGTCTACATATGCAGCTTTTTTTATTTGGAAAAAAGAACCCTGTACTTGTGTACAAGTAATTTTAATTAGAATCCACCAGGTTTCATTGCTATTAAATTCTATAATATTTTTCAATAAGGATGAGTGAAATGCAAAGTTTAGAAAGTTTTTGTGCAGTCCCCTGGCAGAGCTAGGTCCTTCCACATGACAAATTTTAATTGGCTTGTAACTGGGTTGCAGGAATCCCCACAATTTTCCTCAGGTTGCAATGCCAACTATGTAGCAGAAGCAGAATCAGAACCCAGAATTTTTGCCTTCAAAATTTACCTTATTCCTATGGCAATGCCAATATTATTAAAAGCGTGCACATAGTTTTGAAACAGAAAGTGTTCCTAGGAGAGACACTGTAGCTACAACAACAAAAATTTATCTTTAAATAAAAGATGGCACAGCTGGTGATATAGTTGATACCTCGATATGATTTTTATTGGGCCAGTTACTAACTAATATCACATTTTTGTAGTGCTACTTTCTTACCACAGAACACTTTTCCCCCCACCCTTCTACCAAACACATCCACAGAACTTTTAATGAGAGGGAAGAGGAAGGAATGTTACTACTAAGACTTGATCAATGGTTTGAGAGAAGTAAGAATCACATCATTACTGAAACACAAAGCCTTCTCAAGCTGTTTAATCTTTTTCTCCAAAAGAAACACTTTTAACCTTCCAGAGCTCAGTGAAACCTATTACTCATTAAAAAGGGAGACAGTAATGTGTTCCAGAAATGCTCAGCTTTAATGAATGCAACTGCTGTGGTTGCTTGATGGTTGGTTGCTACAGTGGTGTGAAAACAGTATTATCTGACATCTGTACATCACAGGAGCTGGATCTGGAGTTCAGCAGATCCAGATTATCACACTGCATCATGGAGGGCAAGGAGAAAGGGGAGGGAATGCCAAATTCATCATTTGTATTATACCCACTGTGTATTCATTGAGCCACAGCAATGACACCAGACTCTCCTCTGTCTGTCCTCTTGGCTAGAGGAAACGTGATGCAATAAGGGTAAAAGAATAAAAAAAATGGAAGAAAAAAAATAAGAGCATATTCATATTAGCAATGATTTCAGACTGGGCCAGAGGCCAAGCACTAAAGCAATATGTGACTGAGAGTGAAACATAGATTTGGGACTCCAGCGTGGTTTCTTACTTCTTGGGCAGATCAAGAGCTGCAGCCTTAGTCACAGGGGCCTGTTGTAATTTACACAGGACTTTTGGAGGCTTGGTGACTAGATGGGGAAAATCAACACACACAAAAAGTGGTGAAGGCTCAGGGACAAGCAGGGAAAAGCTTGATCCTTCCCTTTTACCAGTGGTTAAAATAAAATAATGAAAAGAAAAAAGATCAGAAATAATGAAAGAAGCACAAGCAACTCCACACACTTCAGTGGAGACACTCCCACCCACCCAGAAGTGGGAGAAATGGGCTTCCATTTCAGGGTATGTGTCCTGCTGGGTGTGAGTACAGCCCAAGCTGCTCTGGAGACACAAAAGGCAGCTTCAGACAGCAAGCAGCTAAGCACGGAAACTGTTAACCACGCTGGTTTCCGACTTAACATTTCACTTTCCAAAGTTCCTTGCTGAATATTCTCTGCTTAAACACACTTGCATATGCTGAATGCATCAGATCTAGTTCTGAGCTCTCTGGGCTTGTTTGGAGTTCCACAAACATCTGTCTAGTCTGTCCTGAAATCCAAGCTATCAACCTCTAAACCAGCTTAACAAAACTTTCACAAAGTGCATGTTCAGTCCACAAATTAAAGCTACTCTTGGAATCTCCAGCACTTCATCAAGTTACTTCAGAGACAGTAATTGGACAGATGGACTGTCAGTGAACTAGAAAGCTTGCTCAAATGAGCTTGTCACCACACAAGAAGGACTCACCTTCACCAGGCCAGAATGGTATGCGAGTTGGAATCCACAGGCCTGTGTTGCTTCTGAGTTATACTAACATAAACATAACCCTGTGGTAAATAATCCAATTCTTCTGGAAGGACATCAGTTAACAGAACAAAATGTAACTCAACGCTGATAAACTTAAGGCAGTAATAGTCCTTGTATTACAAAGCTGTGGCTTCAAGAGCTAATGAAACAAAACAGTGGTTTCCAAATCAGTTCACTACTCACTTCTATAGCATAATGCAGGGACGAGGAGGCTGGATGCAATGACAGGTTCTCAAGTGGCTTGATATAGGGTCTCTCCCATCCTGAAGCCAAGGACCATTCAATTGTCAGCATATTATCAGTGAACACAGTTCCAAATACCAAACCACTGGGGTCTGGTTTTTCCTTGAACGTCGTAGCTGGGGTGATAATCAAGTCTGAAGCCTGAAGGAACATGAAGACAAAAATGAAGTGTATCCAAATAATTAAGTCAGTCTGATTTAAAAATGATTCTGCACCAGTGAACATGGACAAACTTTAATATTTAATCTGTGGAGACATTTAATGACATAATGATTAAAGGCAGCTAACCTCTAAGTAGCTGGCAAAGTATTTATACTGTGCATGCACACATGTGCACAGTGCTGTTATACAAGAGGTAGTTAGCATATTTTGAAGCACTGTTAAGTTGAAGTACAAGGTGTAAAACCATTAAATTAGCACTGAAAATTTCTTGGACCTTTAGGTGAACACATCTGTACAAGTTCCAGAAACACCCAATTGCTGTACCTCAGAACATAAGAGGATCATCAGAAATTAATCCCCCTCACAACTAAGTAGATGTTACGCCAATTTTCCTTTAATACGTAAAACCAGTGTGAGAATTCAGAGCCAGCAGTCAGCAGATTACTTCTGTCACAATAACTTTTTCATTCACGTTCTTATTTTCCTAGAAAGATCCCATTAGCAAAGAAGGCTAAGTGTTTGCCTGCATGAGGGGCTGTAGAGACTTTCTCTTACAAGCCATCCCTAGCTGCAGACATGCACCACAGGGTCCTGTACTGGTTTTGGCTGGGACAGAGTTAATTTTCTTTATAATAGCTCCTATGGTGTGAATCATCCTAAAGAAAAGCAGGGAAAGAAGGAAAGCAGGATCTCTGGCATGTCACTCCTCTTTACACACAATTAGGGGGGAAACAACTAGAGAGCTACGAAGTGGGCAGAGTCTTGATCCACAGTCTACATTCTCTTTCTATGCCATCTGAGCATTTAAACTGTGCTGGTCAGAGGCACAAAATATCAAATATTGATATTCAAAGCTCCATCTGCCTTTCTAACATGACTCAGAAGGCATTACCCTTATTACAGACCCCTAAGTGAAATCTTACTCCTGTATGTTGGGTGCATATGGGACGCAGATATCTCAGACTATTGATCAAATGATTTGCAAGTGCACCAAAAAGGTGGTTCTGCAAGAGGTATCACTTGGACGTCTCAAACCCAGCACACATTTTGCAGAAGGAGATGAAATTATCTCCAAGCTTTTGAAAAGGAACACATGCAGACCTGTCTCTGTAAACAACTTAATTTTCAATATGCCTTAATGAACAAAGGCCTGATTTTTATTGATTGGTTGTTTTGGTTTAGGCTTTGGGGTTGTTTTGTTGGGTTGTTTTTTTTTTTTAATAATGGCTTAGATGTGAAATTAACTTAGAGCTGGAGCACATGAAGAGCTAAAAGCTTGTTTTGAACTGTTACCAATTATAGGGCTTGTCTACATCTTACATTGCATTAGCCTGGTTGAACTAATACATAATCTGATGAAACAACAATTGCTCTTTACTCTTCCCTTTATTGTTCTGACAGTGAGTGCTCCAATGGGAAAAGCACTACTTAATGATGTTCTGAAAGTAAAAATTAATTTTACCCAGCAACTTGAAAAAAAAATGGTATCACAGAAGAACATGGATCAAAATGAAAGCCACAGAGGAGTGTTTGCAATTATCCACAATGCAAGACTCAGCTCAAGAAAACACTTATGCAGGGGCAGGTTGTCAATAGGGCTTAACTGAGTATGCAGAACACAGTTATAGCCTGGGTTTTACCTCTGCACAGAACCACAACTTGTGAAGAACTCTTTCTTCCAGTGATATCAACAGCTCTCCCTGGAGTCCAGACCTCTGCCTCATTTCAGGTCATTTACATTAAGATAATGACCTTTACAATAAACTGGCCTGGGGACCAGAATTATCACATGGAGTCTCATCCCCTAGAATCCCCATCAGTGTGCTGATTTCTGCTTTTATGCCTCAGTTTGCCACTTCTTCAGTGATGGTAGCATAACTAGTTGAAAGGCAGAACTTCAAAATTGTTTGCTAAACTTATTGGGACTATCATAGCTTTTATTTAAGGATGAGGAAGGATTTTAACCTGGCTCTTCTCACAGACCCACAAGCACATGTGAGATCTCTCCATCATGTGAATTATAATTTAATTGATCAAATACAAGCACATTGTTATGATCTAATGGTTAATACAAAGGGGGTTCCAGATCCAAAGTCACTCCTATGTTGGCTCCTCAGAGATAAGAAGTGGGCCAAGTGCTCACTCTCCTGCAAGTACCCAGTGTGATGGGCACTACAGTGCCTACAGCTCACAGCAGTAGCCCACACTGCTTGGTTCTCAGTCCCAAGGACTGGGGACTCTCTGCAGTCACAAACAGAAATCACTGGACTGGATTTCAGGTTGAGTCACTCAAAGGCAGAAAGCCCAGAGAGGTTGGTAGCTACGATGCTTAACCAGAAAAGCAGCAAATAGTTTCCAGAACACAGAGCTCCTGGAGCTGTCCACTGAACAAGGAACCCACCTGCTGTTTCCCACCTCCTTCAGCAGTTAGGGAAATCTGCTTTCATTCAGCCATTCTGCCAACACCTGAATCAACAGTGTCAGGTGGAGCACTTGACCCATAACAATTCCTTCAAACAACAGCAGGAACACTCTGCCTAAGACCTAAAATATGGGCTAGACTGCACAGACCAGTAGTGCAAGAATCATTCAACAGGCAAAAAGGCAATTTCTTTCATCTTTATAATCCTGTTAAGTTCTCAGGAGCTGCATTTAACACTTCTTTTTTTTTTTTTTTTTTTTTGGCCATTACTTTCTGAAGCTCCTTTCTTAAGGCTCTTTCCCCTTATTCATTCCATTGTCTTTTTCTCTCCCTTTTTACCAAGCAGTGAGCAGTGCAAGTTAACAATGTGAAAAAGCACGTGAATCCTTCAGAATCCAAATGCTTTATATGTCAAGACACCATAAAGTGCTGCAGTACTTTCAATCTTTCTTTTCCATGGTGGGTGACATGTGAGGACAAGGGCCTGGAGAACCATCCTTGGAATACTCTCCCACAGTGTGGTGTGTGCAAAGTACTGCTAGCACCCTCAACCTCTTCTAGGTCTCTGAGTAGTAGGACACTCTATCCAACATCTCACTTGGCCTATGGACCCTTTTGGGTTCGCTTGCTCAATCAGCACCAGCAGGGGTGAAATCAAACACTCAGAAGGGCACACAAAAATTGGGGCAGAGCAAGGCCAGGTGACTAGGACCAGGGGTAGTGGTTAGGTATCAATGCCTATTGTGTTAATGTCACTCATTAAAAAATAATTGCAGCACTACCTTGATATCCCCTATAACCTTTATAAAGTGCAATTTCTTTCTTTCCTTTGCCAACATTCCCCCCAGCCCCGAAAGCAGCATGTTAAGGATGCATTAGGGATTGGAATTAGCATCCATCCACATCTCCACTGTTTGTACTGCCAACACAGAGGGAAATTTTCAACTAGGTGTGTGTTTTGCCTGCTTTGTTTATAAACATGCTCTCAAGCACCTTCTGACACTGCTTAATAAACCACTGAACTGGAAGGAAAACCAGCAAAAGCAGAACAAAAAGGATGAGGGAGATAAAAACAGAAACGGATGTGGTACATGGTCTATTGAGTGCAGCTATTTGGCCCCTGCTCCCTAAACTAAAAGGACAAAGACTTAGTTCCAGGTCTGCAAGCTCTCCATGGGGCAGCAGAACAGGATGTGTGTTCACAGATGGGTGTTCAAAGCAGAACATAAGATATATGTGCGTATTTCCCAGCCCAGGGCACTCTGGTAAGAAATAGGAAGAATCTGATTGTCCTGCCTATAGTAGGCAAAACGGAGTAGTGGAGAACCAGTTGGATACTGCTGATTTTCAGTGCTTATATAGCAGCACTATACCTGCAAACAGCCACTGGCCCAGACAGACACATTCTTTTTTGAAAGGCTCTCATATAAAAAATGCCTGCTGATTCCAGTGCAACTTCTTCCAGAGTGCAGCTTTACCCAAGTAAAGAAGATATAATGTGACCTCCTGAAACTAAAATTCATCATTTGATCAAAACAGATATTTTCAATGATGAGCTGGGTCAAATTAAAAGTGATGTAGTGGTCAGTGTCAATTCTAACCGAAGTGTAACAAGACATCCTGGTGCCTCTAGCCAAGCTGTCGGTTTAATGCTTGTTCTACCCAGATTTTGCAACAGCCTTAAGTGGATTTGGAGCTGACAGCAGCCCCTGGCCAGAGCTGTTCTCTCATTACTGCATTCCTACCTTTCTTACCCTAGACAGCTGTCTTGGATAGACACAGATGGCACAGGCATATTTTGTCCTACTCTTCCCACCAAGTTTTGTCAATACCTTCCCCAATGATCCTTGGCTGTGCACTGAAAGTACTAAGCCATAAGCAGTAGTTTGTGCAGCTGTAACAGGTGTAGCTCATTTGACATACCCAAACTTTTCTAAACACTGTGCTGGGCCAAGCATTTCTATCACTTACTGGAGTGAAACCAGAGCTGGCAGCCTGAGCTGTAAAATAGCTTACCTAACCACAGCAGCAAGTTTCAGCAGAGATCCTCCAAACCTTAACTCAGTGAGACTGACTAACTATTCTGGTGAAATAAGTAACGTCTCTGACTGCCATCAAGATCACAAAGCAAAAATCATTTTTATTACTTATGCTGAGTTTGTAAGCATATCCTAGGAAAGATCAGGAGCTTCTGATGCAATAGCAAACACAGAAGCATAGGCAAAATCAAGTAACTTGTTTTGCCCTTGCACTTCTGAACAGCAAAAATGTGGTTGCAGCAGTGGAGCAAATTTGGAGGAGACAGATTACAAAGAACATGAGGAATTAGTAATCCCTTTATGGTATAAAGGAGAAAGGTAACAAAATATATCTGGGAGGAGTTGGAGAGAATGAGTTAGGACTAAACAGACCAGTTTTCAGGAGGGCTCCAGGGATGAGGATACTTTCCTGCCTTTCAGTCCTTATGGCTGTGACACCCTCATCATTGCTTTTGGGCCCTTCCCAGCACACACATCTCTCTCTATCCCAGGAAACAATTCCTTCTGATGGAGCAGCT